AAGACTAAAATTTGGTCTTTAGATCTTTCAAAAGCCCAGAAGATAAAGGCTGAAGATTTGAGATTTTTAGAAGGACTATAAAATTGCTGGGCTCTTTGTTATCGAACTGGAAAAGACCAAAAATTGGTTTTCAAATCTTTCAAAAGCCCAAAAAACCACCTGGAAAGACTTGACAAGCAGTCCCTAAGATATTCCCCTATGTTTCTGTTTCTATGCATGGGTTTCAGGTCTTATCAGGTTTTGAGCCGGTCTGTGATAGGTTGGTTCAAGTTTCTAACCCACCAAACATTTGGACCAATCGAGTATGTGGAAATTGAAATACTAGGCTCTATTTGTTTGCAATGTAAACCTGAATCTAATACTAATTTTTCACCCAGTTTATTTTTTCATCTGTTTGTAAATATGAATTGCACTTACCTGGTATAAAATATGTATTTCTTGTCTCGTTTGCATTCACATTTTGCATCCCAAAATTCGATATAAAATTTGCACCACTTTCGTCCCACTTCCCAATCTAATTAAAGCGGAGAGTCAAGAGCAAAATTCGATGGTGAGAGTCATTTTGCTTAAAAAGCTAGAAGACCAAATCCCAAAGTCTTTTTTTTTCTTCTTGACTTTGGGATTTTGGCCCTAAAGTGACTTCGGCTTTTTAGACTTTGGCTTCCAAAGGTAGGTGCTGCCAAGTAAACAAATCCAACTTTTGAAAGCTGAAAATCCAAAAGTAAAAATTTATCTAAACTACGTCTTATTTTTGCACTCCCATCCCATACATACACCAGTGCGAATTTAATTCGCACTGAAAACAAACTGAGCCCTAAATCCTGAACTTATGAAACACATATGGTTAGAAATAAATAGAAAAGGTAGATTTGTTTTATTTCCTACTATGAATTTCAAAATTCATATAAATGTTTATTAGATCAAATGGCCCGTTTGGTTAGAATGAATGTGTTTCATAAATAGAACAGGCCATTCATTTGAACTAGATGTTGAATCGTCGATCCAAAACCGGTGGCATATATATATATATATATATATATATGTATGTATGTATGTATGTATGTATGTATGTACACACTCTGAAAGCATGAGCATCCAGCTATACATTGGAAACATCTCTCTATGAATTTAAAATATATGTAAGGGAGATATTTCCAATGAGCTGTTGGATGGTCTTGTGAGTAGAGTTTTTGCTTGAAAGAGATCTGGGCTTCAAATTTATGTAAATTGATATATGTAACCAGTTGAAATCATAGGGATTCGATCCCAAGTCTTCGCTACAACTAGCATGAGACCTTACCAACCAGTTGATTGGCACCTTGCTACTGTTTTTTGTCTGACCTCTTAATTCCTCTCATACTGTATTATAGGAAATACTAAAAGAGACCCACACTATGCATGTGCTGGTGTTAGAAAGAAACCCATGTTACACTCAGTTTCTTAACTGATGAATTGGTTGTAGGTAGGGGTGATCATGGGCTGGGCCGAGCTGGGCTTTGCCTTCATAACAATGGACTTAGGCTAGGCCCGAGCGCAGCCCACATTATGGGCCTAAAAATATAAGTTAGGGCCCGGCCCTATATGGGCTTAGGCTGGGCTAGGTCAAGATTTCAGGCCTAATTATTGTATTTCAGTTCCAAAATTAAACAATTGTACTTTTTTTCACTTATTGTCATAGAGACTATAGTAACCTATAAGAAACTTTAAACTTAATATCAAGATAAAAGCTTCTAACATAAAAGAAATTAAATAATTATACTTTGTAATTTATAAGTTTTAATTGGTCATTAGTATGCTAAAAATGATAATTTTAACAAACCGATTCTTCTATCAACAAAAACTAAACTTAGAACCTATAATATCTATCAAAAAATAACCATCCATTGTCATGTAATATCCACAAAACAACTTTAAACATCTCTACAAGGGGCTCCATCTTCCATTCAACTCCTACAAATAAAAAGTACATAAAAAAGATATTAGCAAACTAAGAAAAATAGTTCAAATTAATGTGAATAAATAAGTAATAAAATATTGAAAATGGTTTCAATTTTACCCAAAACATGCAACCTCTTTGAACTTAAGATTTATCTTCATCAATGGATTCTTCATCACTAGACGATTCGCCTTTTGGTGAGAGAGAGAGAGAGATTGGGTGCCGTGGTGGTTTTGTGAAATTGGTGAGAGAGAAAGATAGCTGAGAAGATTAGGGTTTAGTAATTTTTATATTTCATTAAATACTAGATTAGAATTTGATAAGATCTAAGACCGTAGGATTAAAATCTTTAAGGGTTAATAACAAAGATCCCATTTACTTTGTTTTGCGACAAAGACCCCCCTGTATTATGACCGTGAGACAAAGACCCCTTTCCGTTAGCCTTCCGTTGAAATCCGCCGTTGCAATAGTTTTTAATTCCCATACTACCCTTATAATAACTATTCGGAGAAAAATACTGTTCATCTCCTCTGATCTCACGATACACGAACAGTAGCAGCGGTAGCTATTGCAGCGGCAGCGGACTTCCGAAATCCTCTGTCCTCCCTTTCTCTCTCCCCCGGTCTCTCTTCTTCCCCTTCCCCTTTCTCTCCTCCCTTTTCTTCTATCCGATATCAAGGAGAATAAGCTCTGCATAGCGATCACTACAAGCTAGCAGTTGTACAGTCAAAACATACAGATTTGGATGTACTTTGAGTTTTTCGACAGCCGCACTCCATAAGTACTCAACAATGATAGCAACCAAATAACTAGGGTCTCCAGCCATCTCTTCCTCAACTAGAGCAAATGCAGAACTGTACATTTCATCAGGTGAAATTGCCGCAGAAGGAACTTGTGACTCCACAGAAGCATTAGAGTCAAATCGACTGCTGCTAGGAGAAAGTTGAGATTCTGAACTTGACTGCTCAGCCTCAACATCAGAAGTTCCAGCATCTATACTCTTTATCCGCTCTTTTGTTCCCAAATCATGAAACTCACTTGATAGAGGCTTTTGAAGAGGCTCTCCTGAACTGGTATTCTGCAGTGCCAAGTTGACATTCTCCTCAGAATCAGAAACCAAAAGAGTAGATGATCTATCTATTGTGGAAAAAGTGGTAAGATCAAGAGATTTATTATCCACATCTTTGGTCCTGTAGTGTATAGATTCACTGACCACACCACTCACAGTTGCAGGTTCATGTTTGGTAGATCTTCCATGTGTCTGTACTCTTCTCATAGGGTCATCAACCACAGTCCTGGAGTTATTCCCATGTTGTGTGCTAGAAGTTGAAGTGCTCTCACCACTCACTGTTCTTCCCTGAATATAACCTCCCATTTTCATCGAGTGAGAGTAACAGTTAACTAGTACATCCATTTCTCTGGCAACCATCAATACAGGTCTTCGTTCAAGAATTACAGTCCTTTTTATTGCCAAAGATAATTGCTTAGCCTTGTTTGTTTACAACTTCCGTCGCTGTAAAAATTCTAAAATAGAGGGCACTTCTGAATTGCTGGTAGCAATAGCCAGGGGGGTCTTTGTATTTTACCCAATCTTTAATCTCCTACAAATCTCTATTAGTCTCTATTTAATATATAAAATATCAATTATCAAATATTTTTAAATAATATATATACATAAAGATATATTATTTATAAATATCTGGGCCAGGCCTAAAAAATTAGGAGCAAGCCCAGCACTAAATTTTGTGGGCTTGATGCGGGCCCGGGTCAAGACAAGCCTTAACAAAAAACTTAGGCCCAAGCTCAGATTTTCCCAAACGGGCTGAAATGATCACCCCTAGTTATAGGTGAGCTTAAATAGTCCCTTATTCAAATTTATATTTTTAAAATTAAAAAAAAAAATCCCACAAAATTCTAAAAGGGTTAGGAAGCAATGTGAGAAATCTGATATGAAGTTGAGAACAACTGCATTTTAGTATTGATTATGAGTTTGAATATTAAGGAAGCAAAGCTGGATCTAATGATGGTATATCTCATTGGGTTCAAATCCAGTTTGCAGCTCTAACACAGGTGAGGTTATTGAAATTTTCGTACTGAATTAAAAAGGGAAACGTGCCTAATTAACATTTTTGGGCAATTTAACACTGCTTGGGGCATGTTCGTTTTACTTTGACCCTTTTGTGATATAGGCCTGGTTTGATGGCAGTGCAAATACAAAAATATGATAGTACAAATCATTTGAGTGCAAATTGTGATTTTTTTTTATTCTACCTTATTTTGTTTGATTTTAGAGCAAATGAAGTAAAATGAGACATGAAACAAAATAAAGTAAAACCACATTTTACATTTTTTTTGTTTGCACTTTCATATATTTGTACTAGTGCAAATAAAATTGCACTGCAACAAAATAGGGCTTCATGCTACACGAATCATGAAAATTTGTGAAAGAAGTCGAAATTGGGGAGGGGGTACAAGTCAATTAATTTACATTGCATTAGGACTAGGGTCTTTGTACTGAAGAAAAGTTCCCGATAATAAACTGTGGGAAGCATCCTAAATTACCCAGACACACACAACTTTGTTTTCTTTTTTCTAGGCTTTTCTTACTTAAATACCAAGAAAACCTCTCTCACATGGTCACATAAAAGCAAATAAACTTTACAAATATTCAACTTCTTTATTGGATTATTGGGGTTGGGTTTCCTTTAGAAATTTGGAAATTCCTTATCGGATTATCTCTTACGAATTCGTTCCCTTTTTACGCGTTTTCCAAGTTTTCTTGCATGCCAACTAGTCTAAATTAGTCTTCGGCACTGACTTCACCTTCTATTAACTATGTACATTCCTAATCGAACTGGGATTTTAAATCTTTATTTATTTATTAGTTAGTCTCATACTCTCATCTGCCCATTAACAACAAGCATTCCGTCTTCTTCTTTTCTATTATTAATAATTCTTTCGTTCTTCCTTGATCAACACTTGTTTATCAGGTTTGTTCATCAATTTCTTTTTCAAGCCAAACGAACGTGGGGATAGGTGCAGGAATAGAATCTGAATTCTGAAGATGGTCAACCCATATTTAAGCGATGATATCATCTTTAAAGAGATACTCACTAGAGTTCCAGCAGACAATCTTCATAACAACTTCAGACATGTTTGCAGGAAGTGGTTTGAATCAATCTCCAGCCCTCGTTTCATTGAAGCTCATTACTCCAATATCGAACAGGGTTTGATTACTCCGGGGCCAATACGTTTTAAGCCGGGTTGGATTGCATTACGTTTTATGGAGATCAAAACAGGCAAGATGATAGACCGATTCATCAAATTTAGATCTTTGAATCCATGTGAAATGCCCAACCTTAGAAGCTTCTCTAATGGCATGTTGTTGTTACAAGATGGACAAAATGTTCATAACCTTTATGTAGTTAATCCTGCTACAAGTCAATGGACAAGCATTCCTCCTTTCACTACACCCATTGGCCACTGGTTCGAATTGGTATACGTTCCTTGTACACAAGAGTATAAGGTGGTACATTTGTTTAAAGATTACCATAGTTTCACTTTCCGGTGTGAGATATTCACTTGTGGTGGTAGTGGTGGTGGTGATTCATGGCGACTAGTCGACTCGATCACAGAAAACCGAATCAATAAATACTTTTGGGGAGAAAGAGTTATAGTGAGGTGTTATACACTGGAATGTTAATTCAACTTGGTATATTATATCTATGGATCTCAGGGAAGAAAAATTTTGTCTGGTGGAACTCCCTCATCGACGTTTCCACACACAAATAGAGCTACTAGAGAAAGGAGGCTTTCTGTCATTTCTTGATCGAAATCCCTATGAACATATAGACGTATGGGTTCTGAAGGATTTTCATGTAGGAGATTGGGTTAAAGAATACAATATCAATGTGCCTTGGGAGATAAAATGGTGTTTGTATAATGTTATCACCACCCTAAGAAATGGTGAAGTTATTGTTTTTCATAAATATGGAAGACACTTCAGCATCTACGATTCGAGAGTTGGGCAATGGAGGTTGGTTAAGTACAGAAGGAAACGTGTTTGTTCTAATGGCATCTATGGTCCCCATGCCAACAACCTCTTTTCTTTGAATGTTTGATTGATCTGGAGTTGTGTAACAAATATTGATCAGTGAAAACTGTATTTAATTAGATATTGTTATATAGTTCCATGTAGAGAAATCTCTAGTTTTCAGTTGCAATTTAATTCATGTTATTTTTTTTTTCTTTTTTATTTTCTCTCAGTGGAAGGCTCTCTTTGTTTATAGTGAAAATCTGAAGTACACAATACAAATTTACACCTGGTTCATTTTTGCATCTATATGGTTTGCATTCTTATATATCTGACACAAAATCTGTACTTTTTTGTTTCATTTTCATTTACTGAAAATACAAATTTTGCATCCGAAAACTGATGTAAAATTCATATGACCCCAATTCTTTCTCATATAAAGTGGGGACCAAATCACCGTGCTTCCTACTTCACTCCTAAACAAAGAACCCTCTTTTATCCTACCCCATTCATTATAGATGGTGGAAACCATATCAATTTACTACCTAACCTATTTTATATCTCACAAACAAATAAGAAAGTTAAATCAAAAGCAAAAGTAAATCAAAATTTACACTCAACCTATTTGCAATCTCATGCATTTACTCTGGTGCAAATGAAATTTGTCTTCTGATCAATTGTAAAAAAAAAAATGGATATTCCGAGTGAGTGACAGGGAACTCAAAGTACTGGCATGATTAGTCATAAGAGCTTATTGGCTTGCCACTTTGTGCAAAAAACAATGCCACAGGTTGGACGGAATCCAAGGTTCTTCTCCCAAGACGGCAATACCTCTGAGAGCTGGACTAGGGTTTATCATTTCTCATCCTGGAAATTTTTGGGCCGGGGCAGTAGTTTTTCTTCCAAGCCAGAGACCTAAGCCCAGACATCTTATATATACATATTACAGAACATGCAGCAAGTTACGAGCCCAATTATCCATAAGATTAATGTCTAAAATTCCATAAGATTGTTTTGCCTATACAATTTACCTAGTAGTGATAAAATTATCTGTGTCAAATAGATTTCCTAATTGCTATTCATCACCCTTTAATCACCATTATCATGCATCTCTTCTCTAATTACCTTTTAATCATAAAAATGTTTATTTCCTTGCTGGTTCACTGGACTGGGTTGAATGTTTAATAGTTTTGGTGCTTGTCTAGGGTTTGTTGTCTAGAGTGTATTAGACAATAAAAACTTTGTTTTTCTGCAAAAAAGGTGAACATAATAGATGAAATATCTGTATATGTTTGGCATCGATGCTGCAGTTGCAGCACCGTTTTCCTGCAAAAAATGTGAGAAAACGGTACTGCTAATGTGTGGCTTGGAGCATATTTTATCACCGTTTTTTTGTTTGGAATTGTTGCTGCCAGGTATGACGTTTCCTAGAGCAACAACTTTTTCTATTTGGTACTAATGCTCCAGGAAACGTTTTCTGCACTTCTACCCATTATCCACTGTCACATCACTGCCCTGTTGACAGCAACGAGTTGCAGCTCAAAAAAATGCCAAATTTGGCGTTGCTCCAAGCCATGCCTTCCCGATTTCCAAGGTGTAGCTTGGAGTACTGTTTTCTATAGAAAAACAGTTCCAAACAGATGATTGTTTCCTAGAGCATCATTTTTTTCTACATAACGCTGATGTGGCACCGTTTTTTGGAATAAAAGCAACGATTCCAAATAGACGCTCTAAATCTGAAAAAAAAAAGAAACAAACAAACAAACAAAAAAGCCATCCATTTTGTAACATGGTATTTTACTTGCTTGATCCTTTTGTCTGACCACCGATTAACGATTTGATGGTGCTTAGGTCTGCCAAATGTGTCCATTATAAAGTGATTCAAATTCAAACCATGGATGCATAAAGTTTGGGCTGGATCAGATCAGCCCAAACTGGGCAATGTAAATGCAGGTCTCCTTGGATTGAGTTTGGGCCTAAGATTAAGGCCCAGTGAACCTGCTTGTGGGGTTCAAAGCAATGATTTCAAAATTGGACCGGACCAGACAGTTGGACAAAAAAACGGGAACCAGTTTTCCGTTTCAGCCTAGAAACTGCTTTTTGGCTAAAAAACATTGATTTGGTCAGTGAATTGCTGACATGAGTGGTCGAACCATTGGCCCAGACAACATTTTTCGGTCATTTTTTTTACTTTTTTTTTATTTTTTGTCAAAACGGGTCATCCATTCAATTTGAACAGTCAGACCGTTCAACCCAAGAACTGAACCCCAGAGGCCCAGAACGATTCCCTATCCAATTCGATTTTAAAAACCTCGGTTCAAAGTAATCAAAAGCTCACGCTAGGTTAATAGCAATATAGCATCACCTAATCCGCTAATCGTTAGAAGATATTGGAGCAGGGATCTTCAAAAAGGCTGTTCTACAGCATGAATGTTTTTTGTTTCTATTTGTTTTTTAAGTTGCCACATCAGCTAAAAGCAAAAATACATTCTTGAACTCTGTTTTTGTTTTGGGTTTAATTTTATTCTGCTTAATGTCTTAATTTATTTCATTTTTACTGCAATCAAATAAAATAAGCCAAAATTTGAAACAAAAATGTCAGAATTTATACTAGAAATCATTTGCACTATTACAGTTTTGTATCAATGCAAATTTATTTGCATTGCAACCAAACACAACCTAACGCTTAGTTTGGAAGGAGTACAAATACAAATATGTATTTGTATTTGTACTTTTTTCAAACTGAGCCTAAGAGAAAAAACAATAAGTTGGTATTGTTTCTAAAAACAATACATGTTTTCTAAACAATCAAAACAATGGTCTTTGAAACAAAAAACAAATTTTATAGTGTAAAAATCATATGATCTATGAAACATGATATTAAATAACTAAATGAAAACGCGTTTTTGAAACCAGAAATTCAAAATTATATTTTTGATTAACACATACTGACATACACAACCAAAAAACATGATTTTTGTGTTTTTATTTTTAGAAACAATCTATTTTCAAACCAAATAATTTTGATTTATTTTTAAAATCAGCAACAAAGAAAAACAATTCAGGCCCTGTTTGGTTTGCGGGAATTGGGGTCTGGAATCGGATTCGGAATGGGCTATTCCGATTCCAACTGTTTGGTTGGCAGAACCAGAATCGGAATCCCATTCCCATTCCTGTTGGAATAGCACTCTCCCATTTGAGGGAATGGCCATTCCCTGCCTCTCTCTTGGGAATGAAATCTCATTCCTACTGATTTTAATTTCCATTCCCATTCCTGTCTAAACCACATAGACTATGAAAATGGATCATTCCAATTCTAATTCCGATTCGGAGTGCGAACCTGTTTGACCCCACTTTTAAAGTAAAACGCCCCCAAAGTTACCAAATGGGCAAAGGATTTCACTATCGAAGTCTGTCTCCTGAATTTCTGTTGAGTTTACGAAATCAAAGCTGATTTCATCTCATCACCTGATGGAAGGTGTTAGTATGCAATTGGGCCGCGTGCGGAGAACGGGGTCACCATCTCGGCCCTCTCATGCTGGGCCCATCTACGTGGGCTGAGATATGCACCAATTAGCCAATTTTATTATTCCCATGAACTAACCTAACCGTTTCTTAGATTATTTTGGAGTTTGAATCAAATCCTTTTCAACTGTCATCATTGTGGATAGAATTAGAAAACAAATAGAAGGGCTTTCAGTTTTCACTTTTCACCGTCCAAATTAAATGGATCTCATTGGTGGGCTCTTCTTCAATTATGGGTACCAGGGCTTTTGTTTATTTTTTATGTGGGCCGACACATGAGCAGCTGACTAATTTATTTATTTGCTTTAAAGTAAAGTGAAGTCATCACAGCCGAGCCGATGCCTGAACGAGGTCAACAATCTATAAATTTGAAGAAAACAATCATCTTTCAAGATATACTTGTCGAGTTGTCTCATAAAATATAATAGAGTAAGTCTCGGCTCCTCTGTTCGGCACATGTATGATTTGAGAATCTTTGCATGGTCTACACAGCACAGTCCCCTTCACACCTTAGTGCCCGTTTGGGACGGCTTTCATATATTACATGAGCTGAGCTGAAAAAAACTGAAACTTCAGCCGGCTGTGTTTAATAAAAGTAAAATTTTCAGTGAAATAATCTCGAATAACTTTTTAAAAATAATTCTCTGGTACCAGTAATAAAATACATAGATCTGCATCTTTCACAATAAGGCCCATATATTTATTACTCGCGTAGAACCTATCATTGATTTCACAATAAATCGAACAGCACGTTTAGTTAATCCAAATTCCTAAAAAATACACACCTCATTTGAATACAATATATTGTTCATCTGGTTGCACATGAAAAATATTTCCAAATGTTATTTTTAATGATGTAAAGTATAATTAATGTTTCAAATGTACGGCTGGATGCATTCGACAATGTTGTGGTCAATAGATCTGAACCGAACGCGTTGCAATCGATGACGAGGTTGTCGGTTTATTATGTGAGTTACGTGGTAAACTTGGAGAGGGGAACGAGGCAGGTTCTAGATCATTTTGGTTTTGACTTGACTTTTATCAAATGGTTGCACGAATTTCATTGATTTATTTATTGCCAATTGTGTGTGGAAGAACTACTTTTATGTGGTAGGTGTCGGATTATCATTTTGGGAATTGGGTGG